GAAGAAGAAGAAGAAGAAGAAGAAGAAGAAGAAGAAGAAGAAGAAGAAGAAGAAGAAGAAGAAGAAGAAGAAGAAGAAGAAGAAGAAACGGTGACCCAAATGTAGGCAGAAATGCCTTGTGGGAAAATGTAGTTCCATAACATGTGACCACATCTGTGTTCCCTGATTGGGCAACGGGTATTCTGCCCGGCAAAAGTGATTTATTACAGTCACTCTTTGAATCGCCCGTTGTTAACTGGGATGGGGCAAAACGCATCTCCCATCTTCATCTCCGATCTTCTCCACTTATCAAAAGGATAGAAAGACCACAGACTTTTTACAATATGTGATGGGACAGATCATGGAAAGTCAGAAGTATCTTAACACTGAACTGTAAGTTTTCCTATTAAGAATGCCTGATAATAAACTTGATCAAAAGAATGTCCTAAGTGTGGAGTTTAGCTGCCTGCCTCAGGCAAACAGACATCGCTGAAGCAGAACAGTAAAAAGTCTGTGTGTATTTATATTTCCCTTCATCAAGAAGTCTATAAAGATTTCTTTCCCTCCGGCAAAAGCCTATGAAAATCCTTTAACCTCCTCAGAGTGAAAAGGCTTTGAAGTTCATTCCCCTCAAGTAAAAAGTCTTGTGTATGATTTCTATTCCCCAAAGTAAAAAGTCTCAAACTCTGTTTGCATTTTAATTGAGCACAGACATGCAGACAGCCTCACAGATGTATACCTGCCCTTCGTGTCCTCATCAGTACACACTTGAGGACCTCACGGCAGTGTGACAACACACAATTCATATTGCTTGTTTCTGGGCAAGATCTATTTAATTCGCACATATTTTAATCTTATATTTTAAATTTTACGTGGTATAGTATGTCTCATGTCGGGAGTGTCAAACTTGATTTCATTGACGGACACATCAGGGTTGTGTTTGACCTGGTGGTTTTCTTGCAGACTTTTCATTACCCAATTAGGTGACATCATCAGTGCTAGAGTGGGATTTGTTCTGTCTATGTACATGATCTCCCAAAAGTGTTTCTTCACAAATTTGATAATAAAACTCACTCAGTTTATCCAGGTCAAGCNATGAAGCTCCCACAACTTCTGAAGGCAACTTCTCTTCCATGGGTTGATTGTTCTCACTGTCAGAAAATTTCTCCTTATTTCCAGGTTGAATCTCTGCTTGATCAGTTATTCCTTGTCCTTTAGAAAATAGCTTGACCCCCTTAAATATTGGAAGGCTGCTATCATGTCTCCCCTGGTCCTTCACTAGACTAGCCATGTCCAGTTCCTGCAACTGTTCATTGTATTTTTTTCCCCTTCAGTCCCCTACTCCTCTTAGTTGCTTTTCTCTGCACTCTTTCTAGAGAAAGTCTCAACATCTTTTCTAGAGTGTGACCAAAACAGGATGCAGTTAGGTCTGGTCTTCCTAAGGTTTTATAGAGTGATATTAGCCTCACTTGATCTTGATGGAGGGTTGAGATATAAAGTTGAGTTTCATCAGGATATTGATGATATCTCAACCCATGATGACAGAGTGTTAATATATTTAATAGCTGGAACAGTAAATTGTATAATGGGCCAGAACACAAAGCTGCAGTTGATTGATTGGAGAGTGTGGATTCATGAATGGAGCAATCTACACTGTGATTGGTTGCTGTGGTTGTAAAGGGGGCGTTCCCCTCCCCCCTTTTTTCTTCTCTGTGTGTGCGCTCTGTTCTGTAATTTACCTCATGATGTTAGTGAGTTCCTGACTATCTTGTCTGCTGTAAATGTAGATGCGAACTATGTTTAGTTAAATAAAATTACAAGTTTGTGTCAGTGTCTCTGACTCCATTTGGACACCAGCTGTGCAATTCCCTGACATGGATGGGCTCGGCATGTCAAAAACTTAGAAAACACCTCACTTGACTCTCTTAGCATGTCACCCTCCTTTCCCAAACAAAAGACAAACAATTCGTAACAAAGGCTAAAGTAAAAAAAAAAATATCGGTTGTTTAATAAACAAAAACTCACATGATTGTAAATACTTCTTTAGACTGTCTCCCCA